AAAGAACTCGAGTAATTTTTTTGTAACCATTCAAGGTTGTTTGACTATTTTTTTGGTCCACAAACATTAAAAATCACCTCAAATCTCAAATGGCTCAAACACAGAGCTAGGCCGAAATAGCCAATTGGGCCAGCAATACACCCATATGAAGAAGCGTGGTTTGGTTTCTGATTTTGGGAGTGTGTCATTCTCGCTCACTAGTCACTTTCACTCTGGTTTCTAGGGTTTCAGTTCTCGCATGTTCTGGTAGTTTGGTTGCAAGGAGACCTTTCAATGGGGAATGAGGCTGATAACAAGTTCACTTGGGTCATTAAGGATTTCTCCTCTTTGAAATCTGAGCATAAGTATTCTGATCAATTCGTGGTCGGTTGCTGCAAATGGTGAGAAGACAGCTTGTTTTCTAATGTTTAATATCCAATGGGTTTAATATAGCCAATGGGTTTTTCTTGCCGGTGTCTTATGCATGTGCGTAACGTACGCACAAAATATTTGTCTCTGTATCTGGAAGTTGTTGATCCTGATACTTTGCCTTTTGGATGGAGAAGACACACAAAATATCGCCTAACTATTGTAAATCAACTTTCCGAGCAACTCTCTCAAGTGCAAGGTGTGGTTTTTATGGAAATTTCATGGTTTATGATTTTACTTGTCGAGAGATTTGGTTTTGGTACTAGATTCTATATATGGGTTCGTGTTTGTTTTGATAGATCAGTTCTATCTTTCGTGATTTACAGAAATTCAGCACTGGTTTGATCAACAGATTATCCAGATATGAATCCCTTTTTTAAACTTTATGACAAAGATGATGGATTTCTTGTGAATGGAGATCTAAAGATTGTTGTTGAGATTGACGTTCTTGAAGTTATTAGACGTTTAGATGTTTCAGTGAAATCTCGAGAGGTAACAAAACTTCTCAAAAAGATTAAGTTAAATGACAATGATGCTGCGGAATCCAAAGATATGCGTAAGGAAACTTCATCAGCAAAGGAAAGCATTGATGTTAATGGGTTCAAGTGCTTCCTTCACAGGTAAAATGCAAACTTTGTAGAAACTTTAACCACTAGAGACGTTATCCTTTGCTTCTTAGTCGTCGCTAAAAAGTCTAGCCTTCGGTTTCTGGATTGGTATAACGTATGGGATGTTGCAAATAAAAAC